CCCCCCCCCCCCCCGCACCCCTAACTGTAACCACTGGCAACCACTTATCTGTTTTCTATTTCTAAAATTTTGTCATTTCAATGTTATAAATTGGATCATACATTATGGAATCTTTGGAGATTGGCTTTTTTTTTTTTCCTGCTCAACATAATGCCCTGGAAATTCATCCCGGTTGTGTTCACTCCTTTTTTTTTTTTTTGCTGAGTAGTATTCCAGCGTATGTATGTACTGCAGTTTGTTTTACCATTCACCTGTTAAAGGACATCTAGGCTGATTCCAGTTTTTGGCTATTGTGAATAAACCTGCTATGAACATTCAGGTACAGGTTTTCATGTGGATGTAAGTTTTCATTTCTCTAGGATGAACACCTAGGAGTGCAATTGATGGATTTTATGGTAGTTGCATGTTTAATTTTTAAAGAAACTGCCAAACTGTTTTCTAGAATGGCTGTACCATTCTCATTCACGTATATGTTTTTGAAGTGTCTGAGCCAGTTTTGTTTTAGAGCATCCCAGTCACATTTTGGATTATGTGACTTTTTTTTTTCTAATGGTGTTAAATTTGTTCCTCAATCTGAATTTCCTACAGACTGGAGGTTAGTTAGGTCTAGTGGTTTGAATATATTTAGGTTAGATTTTTTTCAAACAAGATTTTTTCATTTATGATGCTGTATACTTAATTTGCATGACGTGAAATCTAAGGAAGTTAGAGTGAGCTGGTGGGCAGCAATGTCATTCGCCAGTGATTACAACACCACCACACACCATAGATCCCATATGACAACAAACATGTATTGTGGGCCCTGGGATATTGTGCCATGTGTCCTTTGAAAGTTGAATGTGAATGTTGCTGATACCAAGATTAAGTAATTCTTGTCAGACCCAGACAAAGTAGTGCCAGGAGGTCACAAAGGAGAGGGGCTCATACTTGTGTGTCTTAGGTAAGAGCTATCACAAGGACTTTCTAAAATCCACAAGAGATTTCCTGGATGTCCTACACACATTTCATGCCTTACTTGCTTCATAGGCCTTGCTTGTTCTGTACATCCACAGGTATTTCTGTAACAAGATTTATCTGAGAAATATTTCCAGATTGCAGCACTCCAGAAAAGATGCTCTCACAAGAACACTTGCCTAGCAACAGCTGTCTCCACCAATAGGCTAACGCCAGCTCCTGCAATGAGTTTCTGTGACCAATGAAATTTTTTTCAGAGCAGCTTATATGGACGTCTTTTTGCCTTTAAAAGCCTTCCCTTACCTCAACCTCTCCGGATGCACTTATGATGTATAACCTGTGCATCCTAGATTGCAATAATCTGTCACTCGTTTCCAAATAAAATCATTTCTTTGGAGAGCCTCTTTGTTGTTATTTTAGGTTTACAGTCCTGAAGAGAGCACGCTGAGAATCGGGTTCTCACCCCCAAAGGACTCTTTCTTTTGAGATTAACAACTAATAGTGTGAGCACACTAATAGGGACTTGGAGGCAGCAGTTAATTCTGTCTTTAGGGTGTATGTATGAGGTTATAAGACAACTGATAGCTGACCTTTGAGCTGGCCCTTGAATAAAAGAATAAATTCCGAGCAGAATAGCAATAAACAATGATTCTGAGATAGGAGAGTGCATTTTGGAAGCCCTTGGTTTTCATATTAGGAAATTTAAATTTTGTGGCAAATAAAGAAGTTCTGGAACCTTATGGTTTTGTTTTTTTGTTGTTGTTTTGTTTTGTTTTTAATGGTGAAATTGTATTAATACTGGGGCAGTGGAAGGGATGAATAATAGCAGGCTGGGAGACCCACGAGTAGACCATTGCAATCAACTGTGCATGAGAGGTCCCAAACTATAAAGAGAAAAAGTGGGGCTCAGATATTTAGGATTACAATTCAAAAACGTGCCTGAATTTTTAAGATTTTGTGACTGTGACATTGTGTAGTGTGTACTTACAATTTTTTGTTGCCTCAGCATCTGTTTTTAAATATAAGTTTAACTTTCTCAAACCAGAAGCAGTCCTCAGTCACCCTTGACACAATTTCCAATACTGTACCCCACCTGAATGGCTGCAGCTGGTGGCCACGGATAAAAACTTAGAGACATCTCTACCGCCTAGTAGGCTGGGCTACCTGCTTTTCCACAACTTTCTGTGAACAGACCACTCGCCTGAGAATTTAAAGAAAACAGACCACTTTGCCTGTGAATTTAAAGTTAACCACCTCTCAGTCACAGAGTGACCTCCTGGAGCTAGTGCCTACTTGCTTCAAACTCACCAATTAAAGCTCCTGTGGGAAACCTGTTTAGATAACTCCTTAGACCTAACTAAGGTGTTGGCCCATGCCCCCCACCCCCACCCCTATCTCTGCTTCCTTTGAGCATGCCGCGTACACCGCAGGGTTTGTAAACAGTAAAAACTCTTAAACTTTCACATTGTGATTGTGTCATTGAAGCCCTGCGTGCAATCCGACCCCTAAAAGCGGGAAACCCCAAAGGGACCCATGCAGATAGGTCCTTGCTGCCATTCTTTGTCCAGGCATCTCAGCTCCTGGGGACAGTAGTTACTTGCTAAGTTAGCAAAGTTTCGTTCAAAATATATTGCTACATCGAACGAGTTTGGTACATAGTAGAGGTTTAGGAGGGAAGATGAATGTTAACGTGTTGTGTCACGTGTCTGTGGAGCAGTAAAGATGTCCAAGTAGAGTGCTGGAAATATAACATCTGGGGCTCAGCGGATAGCGTAAGGAAGTGATGACATCGTAAATCTCCTAGAAAGAAATGGTGCAGGGAGAAAAGGGCTCACGAGGGGTTAGAGGTCAGGCAAGACAATGAACTAAGGAGTTTAATCACCGTGCTGAGGAGCCTTGCTGCCTACCAGCGAGCTCTGAGCTAGAACTGCCTGGCAAGTCTTGCAGCAGAGCGCAAGGCCGCATGCGCGGGAAGAGCGCGGGGACAGGTGGTGAGAGGGCCGCGCCTGCGCGGTAGAGGGGCGTCGGTTAGACGCAGCCAGGCCCAGGCGGAGAATGGAGGGATGCAGCCGCCCCAAGAGACACGTAGGCTTTCAACCACAATTGACAACCGCGGTGGGCTAATCCATTCCCTGTTCACATCCCCTGCACTTCAGAGGACTCCCCATGGTAGCCCGGATACCACGCACGTCAGAGGGTCGGAAGTTTCTTCGGTCCGTTACGTCCAGGACCATGGCAGGACGGCCCTACCCAAGGACAAGGACAAGGATAATAAGGAGAGCACAGGGCGCCGGCTGCTGAACGTGAGCTGTGGCCTGGCCAGGGGCTGGAGGGCAGGGTCTAGGCGGAGTGTGCCCCCCACCCGACCATCTGGAGGGTGGGGAAGGGATTAAAGGGGTCGATGCATGCAGGTTGGAGGGAGACCTGCCCTAAGTTGGAAGGTGGTAATACCTGAGGAAAAGTTGACTGGTGGGACCTTGGGCAATTATTTAACTTGTCAGAGCCTCCTTTTATTAACTGTTAAATGAAGACAGTAATTACTACATACCTTAAAGGAGAACTGAAGGAGAAAATGGTATAAAGTGCTTAGCACAGTGCAAAGAACACAGTAGAGTCAATAAATATTAGCTGCTATCATCATCATTATTGGAATTTCATTCATATAGTTAAAGGGCTAAACTCAAGAAACTTTCATTGTCCTTGTTTTCATTATTCATTCTTACAGAATGAACCTGCAGAAGCAAATCTGCAGCATGTCTGCAAAGTGAACTATTGTCCTCCTGAAACTCTTGAGCTTACTAGTATATTTAGTGGTACCACTAGAGTGTGGAGTCCTACGTGGCAAAAGAGAATCAAATTGAAACTCACTTTTCCAAAGTTGCTACATCCTCTGTTGATCTTAAGTTATTAAGAAATAGTACAGATAAAAATATTTATTGGGAAACAAGTCATATGCAAAAAGATGTCTTTCTCTGTAAAATTAAGGAAGTGAATTACCCTCCTAATTCCAAATATTTAGAATACTCTTGAAGCATTGTTATGATAAATTGGGAGCATATTAAGACTGATTATTAGGATGATATTAGGAAAAATCTCAAAGGTTGTACAAGAGAGATGTGCTTGGAAATCTAGGCCATAGAAGCTGTTATGTATCCTCTTAAGGAATTTTTACTTTATTCTATAGACTGGTGATTTCTATTTTTTTTTTTAGTTATGAGGATCCCCTTTTTAAAATGTATTTATCATTATGGATTGTAATTGATTTTCATGACCCTTTACCAATTCCTCCCTTTCCCGCTGTCCCCCTTTCCCACCACCAGCAATCTCAGTTCTGTTCACTTCTCTCAACAAGTTCAAAGAATTGTGGTTGTTGTGTCTTTTTTTTTTCTATTTACTTATTTATTTTTGTTAGCTCCTACATATAAGTGAGAGCATATGGTGTTTCTCTTTCTGTGCCTGACTTATTTCACTTAACATAATTTTCTCTTTAAGTTCATCCATGTTGCTGCAAATGGCAGAATTCATTCTTTTTTATAGCAAAATAGTATTCCATTATGTAAATATACCACATTTTCCTCATCCCCTTGTCTGATGATAGGCATTTAGGCTAATTCCAACTCTTGGCTACTGTAAATAGAGCTGCAATAAACATGGGAGTGCAGGTATCCCTTCGACATGATGATTTCCGTTCTTTTGGGTATATACCCCGCAGTGGGATTGCTGGGTCATATGGCAGTTCTATCTGTAGTTGTTTGAGGAATCTCCCTACCATTTTCCATAATGGTTGCACTATTTTACAGTCCCACTAACAGTGTAGGAGGGTACCCCTTTCTCCATATCCTCACCAGCATTTGTTATTCTCAGCCTTTTTGATATCAGCCAGCCTATCTGGAGTGAGATGATATCTCAGTGTGGTTTTGATTTGGATTTCCCAGATGCTGAGTGACGATGAGCATTTTTTCATGTGTCTATTGGCCATTCTTATATCTTCCTTTGAGAAATGCCTATCAGCTCCTTTGCCCATTCTTTAATTGAGTTACTTGGTTTTTTGCTATTAAGTTGTTTGAGTTCTTTGTATATTCTGGGTATTAATACTTCATCAGATGCATAAATTAACCTTGTGAAAATGTCCATACTACCCAACGTGATACTACAGATTTAATGCAATCCCCATCAAATACCAATGACATTTTTCACAGAAATGAAAAAAACAATCCTAACCGTCATATGGAACAAAAAAAGACCCCCAAAGCCAAAGCAATATTGAGCAAAAAAAAAAAAAAAAAAAAAAAAATAGTAAAGCCAGAGGCATAACACTACCTTACCTGAAACTATGTAAAATCTATAGTAACCAAAACAGCATGGTACTGGCCTAAAAACAGACACACAGGGCCGGCCCGGTGGCTCACTCGGGTGAGTGCGGTGCTGTTAGTGCCGAGGCCGCTGGTTCGGATCCTATATAGGGATGGCCGGTGTGCTCACTGGCTGAGTGTGGTGCGGACGACACCAAGCCGAGGGTTGTGATCCCCTTATTGGTCAAAAACAAACAAACAAACAAAAAACCCAGACACACAGACCAATGGAACAGAACAGAGAACCCAGAAATCCGTTCATATACCTAGAGCCATCTGGTCTTTGACAAAGGCAACAAGAACTCACATTGAGGAAAAAACTGCCTCTTCGATAAATGGTGCTGGGAAAATTGGACATTCATATGTAGAAGAATGAAATTAGACCCATACCTCTCACCATATATCAAACTCAACTCAAAATGCATTAAAGAATTAAATATACATCCTCAGACTATAAAACTCCTAAAAGAAAATATAAGGGAAACACGTCAGGTAGTAGGACTGGGCATAGACTTTATGAATATGACCACAAAAGCACACACAACAAAAGGAAAAATAAACAAATAGGATTATATCAAACTAAAAAGCTTCTGCACAGCAAAAGAAACAATTAACAGAATGAAAAGACAACCAAGAGAGGATCTCTTTTTTAATGTAAAAAAAAAAAAAAAAATCTGCCTACATAAGAGTAACTGGTTTTTTACTATCCACTGATTGGGAAAATCTGTAACAAAAAGCTACCATGTAGGCGTGGTATTTTTAATGGAATTTGCTCCAGACCAGTGTTTCTTTTAGTTCTTGAATTGCATGTATCTACATCTTCTTGGGTGCTTGTTAAAATGTGTATTCCTGGCCTCCACCTTAGTCCTACTGAGTGAGAAGGGTAGGGCCCAGGAACGTACTCAAATTTTAAACTATCTCAGATGATTCTTAGACAGATTTGTGCTGTCACTACAGACAGAAGAAAAAGACAGGAATTGATGTGGGGATTGTAGATTGAGGGTGTAGAATGGAGAAGGAAGCAAGTAGAACCAAAAGATTTGGATGAATTGGGTAAAAGAAAAAGGAGGAATAAGTGAACAGAGGTCTCAAGATTTTTAAAAGAGGCTTATTGAAGGTAAGTTACTAAGAGAATTGGAAGGATTAGCTAGTGCTCAGATCAAGGGATATTGTGGTTTATGACTTTAGTAAAAACGTGGATAACCTACTCCACATGTTAGAATCAGTTCTTTGAACTTCTTAATTCCTTTCAGGATCTCACTGCAATTCTATATCTTAGACCTTGTCTTTACTCTGATGGTTTCACATCTCATATCCTGAAGTCTAGTATTCTACTTCTTTACCTCTCGTTATTTTACTTATATTGCACATATTTTTTTTTTTTGAATTTTTATCTTGTTTATATACAATGTGGTTGATAATTATGGCCCATCACCAAAACCTCCCTCCCTCCTCCCTCTCCCCCCTCCCACCCAACAACGTCCATTCTGTTTGCTTGTTGTAACAACTTCAAAGGAATTGGGAAACAAGTCATATGCAAAAAGATGTCTTTCTCTGTAAAATTAAGGAAGTGAATTACCCTCCTAATTCCAAATATTTAGAATACTCTTGAAGCATTGTTATGATAAATTGGGAGCATATTAAGACTGATTATTAGGATGATATTAGGAAAAATCTCAAAGGTTGTACAAGAGAGATGTGCTTGGAAATCTAGGCCATAGAAGCTGTTATGTATCCTCTTAAGGAATTTTTACTTTATTCTATAGACTGGTGATTTCTATTTTTTTTTTTAGTTATGAGGATCCCCTTTTTAAAATGTATTTATCATTATGGATTGTAATTGATTTTCATGACCCTTTACCAATTCCTCCCTTTCCCGCTGTCCCCCTTTCCCACCACCAGCAATCTCAGTTCTGTTCACTTCTCTCAACAAGTTCAAAGAATTGTGGTTGTTGTGTCTTTTTTTTTTCTATTTACTTATTTATTTTTGTTAGCTCC